AAGGTGTATGCTTTGACTTTAAAGAAAATGCCACACATTTCAATTTTGAGAGCTTTCTAATCTAAAAACTGGGCACCTGATAAATCTGCCATTTTTCTACTGACAATGACTGCGTTTGGGTCCCTATTCCAATCCAGTCTCCAGCTTTAGGAAACAGCAGTACATGAAGTACTGGACAGTTTATGTCAATTCTATTCTCTGGGTGGAATTCCCAGTAATCTCCATCTCTGAAATGTCATTTTATAGTGTAAGCAGATGCTTAGTCGTCCATACGCTGACTCACTCTTGTGGCGGTGCAGTCCATGTCCGCCCTGGATCCTCACTCTGGTCACGCCAGCGAGGTTATGACCAGACAACATTGCAGAGTTTCTGCCGTAGAAAGACACGACACTGGGAGAGTTGAGGAGTCTCTGGTCTCTGACATTAAAACACACACAAAGATAATCAGTTTTAATGTATTACCTTCTACTGATGTTTTAATCTCTATTGACTGTGAATGAGGAGCATCAGAGGAAGAATACTAATGTGACAACTGAGGTTCAGACTCACAGAGAAGTTCATCCCGACTCCTCCGTTTGACAAACACTGTCCTGCAGGAGGAAGTGAGGGTGAAGGCATTAAGCAGGTTGACATTGTGTCCACTGTAAAAGTACTATGAAGAGTTGATACAGGACCTGTTGTGGCTAACATTAGCCTTAGCTACAAAAACTGGAAACAGTAGAAAACAACTAGTCAGACAACTATAATTATTTACATGTTGTATGTGTTTGATTAACATATGCAGAAACAACAATCAGTTAGTTTAGCTACTGATCAGCTCTTGGTTGGGTGCAGTGGGGCCTCCAAAGCAGAAGCATGGGTTTCTCTGGGCAGACAGCATGGGTTTTCTTTTTGTAACTTTTGATGGAAAAAATTAATAATAAAAAATGTATCATAAAAAAATATAATTAGGGCCCCAGCACCAACTGATACAAAGACAAAGTCCAGAAAACCCTCCTAGATAAACAGATGCATAGTTACATTTCCCTCTCTCGTTTCCCCCCGGAACAGCCGTTTTGCTCCAGCCCACGTCCAGCTTCGATACATCGCCGACACCTGAGAGAAAAACAAATGTTATCACCTGTTGTGTACAACCCACAGAGACCACTATAGTAATGTATACATGCTTCCGTCCAGATTTGAACCCTGGGTGGGCAGCAAGGACTCCAGCCTTATTACAAGGACTCTATTAGGTGAGCTAACTTAGGCGCCCCTTGTACATGCTTTCTGATGATGAAACACCACTGACAGCCATGTTGGAGAGTATGGGGCCAAATGCAGAAGGAGGGGAAAGCTGACCATTGTTTTTTCTATGGAGTTTTTGCCTTCTTTCTTTTTCTTTTCCTAACAGTTAGTTTATTCTGTTTATTATTTATGTTAGAAATGATCTGTGTACTTCGGTTTGGACCTACAGGGCTGAGTCTGCTGTCCCCTGATGTCGGTGCAGTTGGATATGTTCAGCGGGTTTCGTGACAAATGTGTTGTCCCAAGTCTAATCTGTAACTGTGACTGGCAGGCCTGTAATACAGTAATACAATGAATGTTGGAGTCTTGGTCATCCTTTTCAGCAACACACATATATTGTATGCAATGTCACAATATGTATGTTTAACACAGATTTGTCAACTAATAATAATAATATAATAATAAATGTTATTTACTGAGCGCTTTTCATGGTACTCAAAGACACATAAATTATAACTGGTAGAGAAATGTTATCATGATTCTTGGGACACTGTGAAGGGCCTTGATTGTATTTGGTCACTGGCTTGTATTATTTATAAGAAAGTCACTCACCTTCAGCTTAGGAAGTGTGCTATTTTCTAAGGATGCAGGTGCATCAGGGAACTGTGGACGACGGTTTCCGTGTCACAAAGCTCACGGAATTTGCAGAGAACTGACAGGCAAGTTAGACAGGGCATTCAGGCCCACAGTGGCGTGTGTCTGGATGATAACAGTGATCTGAAAAGGAAATGGATATGAGTGATTAAAAGAGAAAAAACTGTGAGTCACAACTGATTACAGTTAAAAGCTTGTATGTAATCTGTACCTGCCCAGTGCTGTCCTTTACAACTTTTATGAAACCATTGTCTTTTGAGAGTCATCAGGAATGGATAACCAGTCTGAATCTTGGCATTCGTCTTCAAATGTGCAACTAGGAAGAAAATGATGTTTCAACCAAGTTTATAATTGTTAGAAGGTGTCAGCTGCAGATGTTGTTTCCCTGACCTTCTTTTAGAGCCGCACCAGACACAGTATGGATCCTGTGCAGACCAACAGTCCTGCACATTTCTGTATGTGCTGCACTTTGACACAGGTACACGCTTCATCTGGAACAAAACACAAACATGCTGAAATAAAAGTAAAATCTGAACAATTTAATTTATTATGAGTCTCCCAGTGTTCCACCACAACTGCATGTGATAGATGCACAAGGGACCTACCTGGGTTTTAAATGGCACGTACACATGTTTATGATCCACCTGGTCCAGCTGCATTTTTGGAAACACTTGGCGATCGTCATTGGCCCTGTAGAGCACTCTGGGACAGGTGGTGTGATGGTTCTTGTCCACAGCAAGCTGACAACAAGAAAGTAAATGTGTTATTTGTAATGTTTCTGTGAGGCTAAGCTGCTCTGTTGGTAGAATCAAGGTTGTGGTTAAATGGGTGGAAATGCTAACAGGAAAAGCTGTAGAGAGGGAACTTCTCTGGTCAAAATATAAAAAATGTTGTCACCCATTTAAAGACAGTGGCAACAATGTTGGAAGGGCAGCGGGCTACCTGTAACCTGGAAGGTCAGCTTGCCTGATCAAGTCATCAATATAATTTTGGATGGTAGGCTACTGACCAAATAATGCCAATATTCCAAAAAGCATATATATTATATTATATATAACAGTATAGTATACCTGTACAGACAAAATAATAGGGAAAATGATGTTGCAGCTGCAATCCAATGGCTGTGGTAATTTTATTGAGGTAGAGTACATTACAGGTTTAGGCATATCTTAGAGATCGAGCCACTAGATAATGACACTTTTCCAAATGGAGCAGGTCTAGATGACCGAACTCCTTATAACAATGAACTGTGTAGTTGTTGCTACTGTTGTTGCTGTGCACCTCTGTCTCTGTCCTTCTGTTACCCCTGTTTCTCTCTCTCTCTCTCTGCTTCTCTCTCTCTCTCTCACCCCAACATGTCAAGCAGGCGACCACCCCCTAGAGCCGAAGGTCTGTCCTAGGTTTCTGCCCTCTTAAAGGAAGTTTTCCTTGCCGCTGTCGCCAAGTGCTTGCTCATTGGTGGGAACTGTTGGGTCTCCGTAAATAATTTTATAAGGTTGCCGTCTAGACCTGCTTTATTTTAAAAGTGTCCTGAAGACTAACTTCTGTTATGAATTAGCGCTATACAAATAAAAATGGAATTGAATTGAATTCTTAAATTATGGCTAATCTCTTGCGGTCACAATGGGCAAAAGTGTCAATTCAGTGTCCGATCACTCCCGATCTTATGTGGTTGAAAAATGACCAGGAACATTATGATCAACACAGTGAACAGCTGACCTTGGACCATTTGGATAAAATATCATCACTTCATTGTATCCCATTAAACATCTTGATTGATCATCTTCAAATTCGAAATTCCCTAAAGATGTTTCCTGAGATACGGGATTTACAAGAATGGGACGGACGTATGAACAACCCACGGCTATCACCAGCATGGAGGAAATATGAAGTATGCTGAGTTTCATCATGTCACATCCTCTGCATTGCCTCACTTTAACATCACACAGGATGTACTGCAACTCTATTGAGTGCTACTTAGGGTAAATGTTTAAGCTTGAAGTGACCTGGTGAGTCTTCCTATAGTCATCTCATTCAGCCTCAGACTCACTAGTGTATGTTTTCTGGAGCTGTTTTTGCCAGCTTGAGCTTGTTGCCAGCTGTCTGTGTGTTTGACTTGCATCTTGCCTCAGTGCCAGATTGGGCTTAACCCTACCTTCCCCTCTCAGGTGCCTGCATTAGTGCCCTGCTTCTGGAAAACTGTGCTCAGATGTTGGCTGAGTGTGATTAGGGTCAATAATTGTCTTTCTGCCAATATGTTTCGATATTGGACTTTATCCCTCTCCCAACCCTGTAAATGCCCATACTACAGTGAACCTACTCTTCAGCCATGTGATTTTTAACATTCGATTAAGAATTAGGAGTAATATGAGTGTGATGATGATTATGGCGATCTCGTTTTTGTTAATTTTTGTTTAAGGACTATACTTGGACATAATTTAAAAGGACCAATGTAAAAGAAATCACAGTGGCTGCCAAAACCCCTAACGCAGGATAGCGCTAATGGCCCTATGAAGAGTCAGTTTGTCCCTTCTGGCTACTGTAGAAACATGATGGACTCCATAGTAGGCAACCTGTGCTGTCTATAGATTCATTCTAAGGGAACAAAAACTTCTTATTTTCAGGTGATTATACACATATATTACATATCTGCCAAATTATCCTCCTAAATGTTACAATGGACCTTTAGGAAAATGAGTATAATCATATACTAAAACATATTAACAAATGATGCTAAACAAACAGAATTTGGTATGTGTAATACTTGACCACAAACAATTAAACGCTCACAACCAATAGCTTGCATAGGTTTCTATTGTGATCCAGTTAATTATAGGTCTCCACCTCGCCCCACAGCTACAGCATCTCACTGTCATTGTACAAGTGGTTTCCACATTTTGCAAAATATTTTCTACGAGCTTTCGGCTGTCTTCCCTTGTGTATGTATTACATTTGCTAGTGATGCAATAGAAAACCCATTCCTCTCTGCTCTCTCCTTCTGCATAGCAGTATGAAATACACTTAGTGGTTCTATGAATACTGCAATTTACCCAACAGTATGAACTCAGAGTTAACTGAGCAAGATAGAGCCTATTCTGTCAAGCAGAGAGTTGCTGTGGAGTGTTCCAGAAGACTTCAGTTCAATTCTGAGCATGTGCAAAGCATGTAGAATATGGGTCTCTGCAGAATATCAACTGTTGTATCAAGGAGATGGGAAAGAAGACAGAGTATGATTTGATGGCAGAGGGATAAACAAGGGGGTGACAGGAAGTATGAAGGTATGAAGTTGTAATGGAAGCCCCTTTAGAGCATCTTCCCTCCCAACATAAAATAAACACTTGCTTAGGAAAGAAAATGCCGTTCCAATTTTACAAACTGATTCTGAGTAAATATATATATTTTTCCAATAACAGACGGCTATCACTTTATACACACCTTAATGAGCCTGCCCATCTCCACGTCCCGATGAAGAGAAAACCACCCAGGCCTTCTGTCTCACTGCCAGCACAGGGTCATGTAGTTCTGCCTGAAGAGCACCTTCTTCGGTTTCGGTGTCTTTGGCTGAGAAACAAACACACTGATGATCAACTTTGGATCAATGGACCCTACATGTGATAAGCAAGCAATCTCTCTCCTCCAAGTCTATCACATATGTTCTGGACATGTCCAAGACTTCATCATTTCTGTTTTTCAGACTTTGAGGGTGGTAGAAATATGCTGATTTAATCACAAGACAATCCCATATCAGTAATTGCTTGGAAAAACCCCAAATGAAGATATTTGAACACAAAACATTATACTATTAGTTAAATATTGAATAGAAAAATACATGCACACCTTGGTCAGTCTTCATGATACTCTGCTCTCTCACTGCAGTCATGTGTAAAAGTGCAGTGTACCTCTGTTGAAAAGAGGTAATGAAAACTTTTTAAGGCAATTTTCCAAATAAGTCTTTTTCACTGAATTTAAACTTAACTTAATCACTTGATCTAAATTTGTGGCTATAACAGACCATTTACAATATATGTGTTCATTTCTGTTATTTAAGGAGTTATTAAATCTAAATAATGTGTTGAATTTGACAGCATTTAACACCAAACTGAGGTGGAAAGACATTTGTTTATTTGTTTGCCCTGTAGGTCCACTCCTGGACTTCAACAAGTGTGTAAAATGACTGACTTTAATTTAGTGGAGCAGGTCTGGTGGGCGAATATTTAGGATCAGATTAGACACAGTGGGCTGTTTGTAAAAATGTGAAAATCTGCAATGAAAACCCAGGTGAATTCCTGAAGAAGAGCTTTGAAGTATTGAGGGTATTTGAAATAGTCTATTGTGACTAATAGCTCAATTAACTACATTACTAGGTCATCAAGTGTACATAAATTGAGTCATAGCATGGCGAACTAGAACCCATGTAGGTGAGTGTGCTGGTACAGTAGGTGACATTTGAATTGTTTTGTCACCACCTTTATAAACAGCCAACTATAGCTTCATAAACTGACCTCTCACCTTTAAAGACTTTTTTTGGACTACATTGTTGCTTTGATTGTGCAGGTTTGCCAATCATCGGTCAGAAAAACCTAGTTCCTTCCTCCTCAACCTGGAAAACTCCTTATGGTGTGTGTTCATTTACATTGCTGAGGAGATGTGTAGAAACAGAACTGGGAAAACCTTTAATCAAGTTATTTAATAATGTAAGATTTCTTCTAAAATAAGTTCCCTTGAATTATTTTTTCTACCTTGTTAAATTTGCTTGTGCATATTTCAATCTAGAAGCACTAATATTAAAAATAATATTATTGCTATAGTCGGTAAAAAGCTCATCAAAATTATGTAAAAATAGTTAATATTAAATGTTTCTGTACTGAATCTAACATCAGACTGTAAGGAAGTCAGTGAAATATTGGACAGCTTATAGTTTAACTTTGTTGATACCACAGGATAAAGAAATGAAATCAGAGATTAAACTGCTGCTAACAAATGGAAACAACATCCAATCACTAAAAACCGACTCACCGTCTGTTTTGACTTATCAGATTACAGGAACTGCAGAAGTCCGGATCTACATCGGGTTCTCCGGTGAGATCGGGAGGCTGATGTCAAACACTACCAGCTCGGTGTTGGTTTTATCCTCCGTCCGCACTGAACACGCCGCTCCAGAGCACCGGCGCCCACCAGGATCACCCGGAGGCCAGGAGTCTGCTGTGTGACTCAGCACCACCAGAGATACTGAGAGTCGCGCCCCGGAAAACTTTACAGTCTGGGCTTTGTCGGTTTGCCCTCGAGCCAAATGAGACGGACTTTGTTGCGTTTGTCCTTCGAGGGGCACGTTAGAAGAAAAGATAGATTGTTGAATTGATCAAATCCATCCACCAACTCCACTGCCTTCATGTGTGATAGGAGAGTTGACAAACTCTCCATTGAAAAATATCCCTCCATTCTGTCCGTTATTGTTATTATAAAAGTTCACCGTGTCTGATCCAGTGGAGCATTTGGTCTCTGTGGATTTGTCTTCGTATTGCTGTATGGCAGCCAGAATGTAAGTGTCGGTCTTGGTCCGGGTCTCCACATTCACCAGAAAGCTGACGGACGCGCTGCTGTCCCATGGGGGCCCCCACCTGGACGTGCTCCTTGTACCCCCACATTAGAAATGTCC